CACAAGCAACAATAAGTGTTGCTCAAAATCAAGCCTACAATGGTAAGAAAATGCATATCCGGATAAGATATGAATGTGTAAGACTTTAATAAAGAATGGTGTACTTTTTATGGAGTATGTGAAATCATAAATGAATCTAGCTAATCCAATAACCAAAGGGTTGTGTAGAAAAATTGTTCTTGATACGTCGATGGGATGGGTCTTAAGCTCATTGACTAAATATATTACATTTTCCCCCATCCTCATGGCGTATTGTGTATTTGAGGTTGAGTCTTTGAACTTTTAATGGGTTCATAAACGGCTTTGGGTGGTCCTAGTGAGAAGGAATTGATGAATCCACCAACGTAAAAGGAGGAATTTTATGCTCTTAATGAGTTCATAGCCCATGTTAGGGTGGTCCTTATGAGACACTTGATGATTCACTTAATCTTATTTGTGAGGTTGAGCTTATTAAATGCTTTTAATGATTTCATATCCTTAATTTGGGTGGCCTATATTGAGATAGACTTGATGAAATCACCTACGTAAGTGTGAAAGACTAGCCACCTTCTACGAAAAAAGTTATGGTTGTTTTTCTAGAGAACTTATTAGCATCCCGAGGTATACTTGCTATATTGTTGATCTATCGCAGAACTCAGTTGGCGAAGAAATTATTTGTGTCCTACGAGCTTACTATTATATTAACAATTATCGATTTGTTCACTTGTTAAAGAGAAGAATTGCTTATTTCACTATTTAGTTCCAGATATATTCACTAATACTTCAACGGATAATTTTGCATTGCTTTTTTCTTATTTTCAATTCTTTTTTGGACAAACTATACTTATTTGCATTTGTGGGGATTGTAAATAATGCAAATATTTTAAAATCATGAACTTACTTTTTCAAAGTTGACTACACTCTGTTGAGAACATACATGATTTTTTCGAGATTTGGGTCGGAAATGTTTATCCCAATTTCCCATTTTTACCCCCTATAAGCCTATATAAAGAAGGCTTGTTTCACATTGTAACTCACTCAATCTATAAGCATCTTTCTTCTCTTGCCTTTCGTCCTATAAAGCTTTTAAGCTTTCAATTTTCTTTTACTATTTTTGAAGTTTTGATAATAGATTGAAATCGATTATCTTTCAACTCTTTTTATATATTATTCGACCTTCAAGAAAAGAGTAATCAATTGAGTTCCAACTTCCTATTTCTGGTGTACGAAACAAGGAGTATTGTGTTAACCTTGGGGCGATCGTCTGTTTTTTGTAATTACATCGGTTAGGGCGAATTCGCTTCTATGACAGTGGACTACCACGGCGCACTAACAATTTCAATTTGTTCATTTCGTTTTATGTACTTGTCAGTGCTAATTTATTTAATTTGCAGTAATCAGTTTTTACAAATTCAACTGAATATATATTTAATGATTAGAATTTCATCAATCAAAAAGGAACAATCTAAGGGTTTAAAATAGTAATATCAACAAATAATCATATAATCAACGGAAGTAAGATCAAATAAAATTACCTTGAAAAAATTAAAGACGTAATGTAAGACCAGGTAAAATTATTTAATATTTCAATATAAAAAATATTAATAAAATAAAATAATTTAAATATATAAAATAAAATTACAATTTAGAGAAAAGAAAAAAAAGACATTACAAAAAGAAATGAAAGAAAAAAATTAAATATTAATGTGAGAGAAGATATCTTATTCATATATTGGTTATCATTGGTTAATACTTCAAAATCATATGCATATCATTTTTTGAACAGCAAAAAAGGTGGTCCCGATCCACAATCACATGCAGTAAAAAGGTTCAAAGGGTCCCCTCTCTATTTCCAAGCTGGAACCCTATAGCCAATCAGAAGAACCTTTAAGTGATCTAACCAATAGCGTGAGGATAAGGTGCCATGTATGATCAAAAAGGCATTTTCAAAAAAAAGGTTAAACTAATTCAATGGTCACTAATATTTGGGTAAGTTTTCGTTTTCACCACTAATGTTTCAAAAGCTACAAATCGGTCACTAATGTTATCGTTTGTTACAAATTGGTCACTCTCTCTTAACAGGCGTGACGAAAAACACACGTGACCTGTTAACAGCCGTTAACAGGCTTACCTGGATGGTATAATTACACAGATAGTCTATGTTATTTATAAATTCTTTCAATTTGATCATAGTTTTAATAAATTAAAATATATTTATTTTTAATTCTTATAAATAATGATATATTTTTAAAAAAAAGGAAATCAAAAATTTAAAATTAGTTATAAAAAAATAACATTTTTTAGAGTTAGAGTAAACTAATACAAACAAAAAAATAACGTTTTTTTAATAAAATTAACATTTTTTCTTCCGCAAACTTTTTTAAATAAATACTAATATTAAAATTTTATTTTCTTTCTTTTGGGGGGATTGAGTGATGAAGAAATCGAGTTGGCCTGTGTATATGAAGGCCTCGCCGGCTCCAACTAGGAAGAATTGTGGAATCAGAAAGAACACACTTATAGGCAGCGTTGTCGTGGTGGTATCATTGGTTCTAGCCACCGACAATCGTTTCATCTCGGCTAGTGCCGCGGCTGCCATTCCGAACGATGATAGGACTAGGCCTATGGCAATTCTCTGTAAGTTGGTGAAACCTGTTGCGGGAAAATTGTGATTAATTAAGAACATTGAAACAATTATCTGTAGCTACTAGGGAAGAATTTTAGGTGTCACATGCTTACCTGGTTTCCTTTCCATTTCTTCCAAACCGGCATGATGAGGCGGTCGTATACGGCGAGGGTGATCAATATCGCCACGACGAAAAGACGGTGAGGGAACCAGTAGGAATTAGAAACCTCCAATTGATCTTTCCATGGTGGACGCTTGCTCCACTGAAAAAGTGATCATCTGTGCATAAGTAGTCCAAAATATGATGGTTGTGACCCATATTGGCAAAAGTCCCACCATCATCTTGATCTCTTCCACCCGTGTCACCGAGCAAAGTTTCCATGCGGAGCTGAAACAACGACATTTCTTTCGAAATCTCCTTCAGCAACAATGGCTTCCTTGTCCAAGAAGCTAGGTAACAAAAACAGAAATAAGTGATAGGTATAGTATTTATTGATTATTCCCATGCAAACATTGAAGAACAATTAAATAAACTCACTGGAATTGATCAGTGTGATGAATTCTTTGAGCCTCCGGGGTCCTCATACAGTAATTCAACACTGTAAGGGAATTCCATATCCTCATACAGTAATTCAACACTGTAAGGGAATTCCATATCCTTTTGTTTTTTGCAGCGATAATAACTTGGAAAATCTGAACTATTAGACTTTCTGAACTTTTCTTATCTGTATCTTTAGTGCCTGATAAGACTATCAAGATGGCTACAAGCATGGAAACACAGCAGATCCGTAACTCCAGCTTCGACCGACTTCGTCTTGTAAGTATATGAGCACAGTAACCGCCGACAGGGTTCCGATACTGATGATGATGAAGAACCTGTTGAAAAAATAGGTCATTTGGGCTTTCTCCTTCTCATCTTTCTCATCGAATTGATCAGTTCCGAATCCGAAAACACTTGATTTCAGCCACCTGTGCCTAGTGCAATTAGATATAGGCCACGTATAAAATCCCCATCTGAAATCCATTTGCTGTTTGCATGTATGGGATGCCGATGCATGGCACGGTGTGGGCGTAACTATGGCAGCTTTGTAGCTATTGCTAATGCCCCAGTCCCCTAAAAAATGATCACCATTATCATCATTCATCACGGATCAAAGCTGAACATGCAGCACAAAAGATATTGAAATTATATACAATTCTCTTCTTAAAACACCAGTGTCTGTATGAAGGAAGATGGCGATCGTCTTGTACTGGCCGAAGAACGATTCGGCAAGAAAGCCTCCGAGCAAGCACAAGAGGAACGATGTGCCCATGAAATCTGTCACACAACATTGGCCGATGTTGAACTCGGCAAATACATCACCCCAACTAAGTTGTCACAAGGTTAATCGCAATCCCATTATTGAAAGCCTCTCACAGACCTCAATCCCTATGAAATCATTCCAAAGTTATATTTTCCTTTTCTTCTTCATATATGATTACTTATTGAACGTTTGCTCACAAATGATGCAAGGTAGGGCCAACCACGGTCGGGCCTTTGATGGTCCCTCGTTGAGTAGGTTTACAAAAGGAGGTTTTGATGATTAAAAAAGTTTGGGGAAGAAATATTGTTAATTTTATTAAAAAAACGTTAATTTTTTGTTTTTATAAACTAATTTTAAATTTTTGATTTCATTTTTTAAAAAATATATCATTATTTATAAGAATTAAAAATAAATAATTTATTAAAACTAGGATCAAATTGAAAGAATATATAAATATGGACTATTTGTGTAATTATACCATCCAGGTAAGCATGTTAACTGTTGTTAACAGGCCACGTGTATTTTCTGTCATGCCTGTTAACGACGAGTGATCAATTTGTAACAAACGATAATATTAGTGATCGATTTGTAAACTTTTGAAACATCAGGTGAAAACGAATCTTACCCCAAACATTAGTGAACACCGGAGTAGTTTACCCAAAAAAAAACGAAAGAAATATCTCTCAATCCGTAAAGTTAAAATTGGCGTATATATATGAAAGATGGGAGTGAAACTAAGAGTAGAGGGACAAGAAGACTACATGGGGTACAGTCATTGTTAAAGAGCCCAAAGAAGGAAGAGCAACAGGTTCCGGATGCCACTTCTCTGAATTCGACGGCACCAAAGGAAGCTAGCACGTGGAGAGATAGATATCATCGACGAATTGGATGGTCTTTTGGGACATGGAATGGAGATGATAAAGATAGATGGCATCATCTCAGCTGGGACTTAATGGACTGGGAAACCGGATTCCACCATGCCGATGAAGAAGACGAGGGAGACCACAAGGTTTATAGTCCCACCAAATACTTGAAAGAAGAGCGCGAATATGATAACCAAGGTGTGAAGACAGAACAACTTAGTTCTGGGAATTAGATGATGAGAAAAGGTTTCCCTCAACTTGAATTTGAATTACCAAGATGTCTTGGATGCATGGTCGGATCGTGGGCCTCTATTGGCCGATGATTGTTCCATTTCAACGCCCACCAGCGTCAATGGCTACTATGTTAGTATTCCATTAACTCCTCTGCTATTTCTTGATGTTTCCCTTCTATGGTTAGTTAACTCCCTCATGTAAGTGAATATCGGTTGAGTTTAACAATTAAAAGCGTGTAGATGGGAGAAGTGCCGATGATGGAGCTAGAAGAAAGAACAAGAAGGGAAGCGAGTGTTCTCAGATACAAAGAGAAGCGTCAGACTAGATTGTCTGCAAGAAGATAAGGTATGAAGTCCGCAAACTGAACGCAGATAAACGACCCAGGCTCAAGGTTTGTCCTCGTCTCTTTCTCGTTTACAATTATAATAGTAAATGTAATATGCATTGAAAATTGGATATTAAGGATGTTACTTTTTGGTTGCTACAGGGCCGGTTTGTGAAGAGAGTTTCCTGAGAGAAGATAACCTAAACGCTGTTTCAAATATCTGATAAAAATATCTTTTAGTATGTGGACTTTTTTCCATGCATATGTGCCTTTTTTGTTTGTCTGAATGCAAATATCTTTCAATCCCAAGCTTTCTGTGGTGGGGCCTCGGCTCATTATGTACATAGCTTGACCTTCCCGCTCCATATCTTGTATCATAATCATACCCAAAAAGAAAAGAATGGTATCTGCATCACAACAACAGTTGCCTTAGGCCTAGAATTAGGGTTTTTATTGTATATTTATTATAAATCAAAAGGTCAAATGTCAGTGAATTACTGTGTATCAAATTCTTGTGGAAACTAGAGTCATGATCTGATTTCTACTACGCTAATGGTCGGTGGGTTATGGATCCATCTAGTGTCGGTTTCTGACGAGAGGCCCATCCCCTTTGATTATCGATATTGGAGTAACTCTGTCAAGCGACGCCACCTTTGTTAGACTAGCGTACGTGTTTGTAAAATCTAGGGGGTGTAAAAAGCTAACTCGACCTATAAAATTGATTGAAATCGACTCGAGTAAAAACTGTTTTTGACATGTGCTGTGACGATCCGAAATCAACTCGAATCGAAACTGGTGTTGACCTGAACCCGAGTTGGACATGAAAATAATAGATCTGAACCCGACCTGAGAACGACCTGAATACGAATTGTAAATCCTCAGATATTAACATAGATGCTTTCATCAAGGACATCTAGGAAAGGCACGCTGGTTAGCTTGTCTTTGTTGTTTACTTATCTGGTGTTCCAAATATGTCACCACTGGTGATTTCAATTTGAATGAAGCATGGAAGTGTGGAACTACCTTCTTTTTCGGGCATACCGAACTAGATTGTTTCATGATACAATGCTTGCTAGGAAAAAGATGATACTCATAACTTCTGTTGTTACAGAACAGAAGAGTGTGTAGGCTTCATTATTGACCGGATCGAATGCCCTGTACATGAAGCCAAGAAAGCCTCGCCTAATGAAGTAAATAATAGTGTTCGGAAGGAGTGAACAAAGCATATAAATTACCTAATGACGTTGTCATTTTCCAAACTAAAACATAGCTCATTACAATACAAAGCTACACAGCCCCCAATATGAACTTAAGCAGCTTCATGCATTATCAGTGTTAACTAAAAATGTTTGACCCCACCCTCTAATGTAGATTTGATTGACGCTTGCCTCTTTGCTAAAAATGTTTTGAAGTTATGAGAATTTTTACATCTTGAGGCTGTAATTCATGTGTCTTATACATAATAACTTTAATTGAATTAGTGTTAAAAATCAATTAAGTTGGGGAGAATCTAAAATATCATTATCCAAATATTAAAGGTCAAAACTTATAAATCCTAAAATTTTGAGGACCCCTTCCGAGTTCCATCCACCGTTAGCTCCGTGAATTGCAATTCAATTGAAACCATATCAGTGCTTTTGGAATGGATTGGAACAAGATTTGTAGTCAACTACCCCAATCCCAAAGCGTGCCCAAAACATACACTGCATAGCACGTTTCATATATATATATATATATATATATATATCTATATATATATATATATATATATATATATATGATAAGATTTATAATGTGTAATTTATTTTATTATATATATAAAACTAAAAAAGTTCTGCTGTACGATAACATAATATAAGGCTAAGAAAATACGCTACCAGAAATATTAATATTTTTCTGACACTTCCTATTGAGCGCTACCTAAAATTTTATTTTTTCTACCGAAAATTAAATTTAGTTACCTAAAATGAATATTTCTGATATTAATATTTCCGATAAAAAAATAACATTTTAAGTAGCGTCCAATATTAATATTTTCGGTAGAAAAATAACATGTAGTGCTCTACAAAAAATATTAACATTTCTAGTAATGTAATTTCTTAACCTTATTTTACGTTTCTTTCCTCAGACATTATCATGGTGAAGCTTCATATAGATATTTTGTTTTGTTTACGAAGTATTTTATCTCTTTCCTGAGATGAAGAGTTATGTTTTCGGAAATGAGGCTTTCGGAATAAATATTAGTGTTATTTTATTAATTTTTTTAAAAAATTATTCGGAACAAAATGTAACGAGGATGACTATGATAGAAACAATTATCATTTGATTTTTGAAATATTTATTAAAAACAATTAACTATTCACGTTCAAAACAATTGTTACTAATAACAAATATGTAAAGAAAATCTTATTCGAACAAGTTAGAATAACCAATTCATGTTTAGGAATGACTTTTACTCAAAAATAATTTTAAAAAAACATTTTCGACATAAATTCTATAAAAAAAGTATTATCATTGGATAATTTATTATATAGTAGGGTAAAACATACAAATTGTCATTCGATTATAAAATGTTGTTTTATTGAGTCATTTGACCATCAGAAGTTATAAATGATCATTCGACTATATGATGTTGATTTGTTGAGTGCATTGACTATTAAAAGTTACAAAATGATCACTTAACTATTTATTATGTTCCAAATTCATTATTTTTTTATTAAAAATTGATGGTAATATGAGTTGGATATTAATATGTTATTTGAGATATGATAAAATTTGAATTAAATATCATGTTTTTATCTTTTTTCCAAATCTCGTTCTTCAATTTATCAAATATACTTTAACTCTTAGTCTTTTTTTTTTAAATAAAAGTCGCTAATTTTATTAAAAGAAAAACACTCAAAATTACAATGAATATTTAGAGTTATAACCGTAAACTAAACACATAATTAGGACATTTTCCTATAATCATTATAGCACAAGAAATTAGCCACTTGAGATCATATAAGAACCATATCAGAAAAAATGTTAAAAATCCAACCAAAATACTTGAATAAAGATATTGTAATCACCATTTTTACCTTAGCCTTCAGCAGCTACTAGCACTTCAACAGCAGCCCCCTCCACGATACAGCTCCACCACAGCAGTGTTCTAGTAGCTTCTAGCACCAACAATAGCTGGTCCCTCCACCTATAGCTTCCAGTAGGAGCCAGCCGCCCCTCCTCGTTCTAGCTCAGCCGCCACACCCATGGTCAGCAAGGCTCCAAGTCGCCGGTAGCTCCACCCGTGGCCACCAAAGCCCCACATCCCGAATCAGCTCATCATCACACAAAAAAGAACATAATGTAAATTTTTTTTGTAAACTGGGACTATAAAAAACCCAAAACAGTATGTAATTGAAAGGGAGGAAATCAAGAGATATACAAATAAAATCAGAAATAAAATTACAGCCAAGGTTATATTTACATTTGGTCTTTATTTTTTAGCTTTGTATTTTACATTTTATTTATTTTTTCAAAATAAAAAATAGTAGGTTAATATAAAAAAATAAGAGTGGTTTTACCTCTATGCCATATCTTCGTCGGAGTTTAGGTCGCCGGTGAAGCGTCGATTGAAGCTTCGGGGAAAGGCCCGATTTTTTAGGTATCCGTTTTGTTCCAAATCGGGACTTAAGTTTCCTTGAGAGGTTTTATTGTTCGGGTTTGTTTGGGGAAAGTCGACAGTGTTTATGGAGAGCTTGGAGGTTTCTCTCAGTTGAGAGAAAAGAATAGCAAGATAAGTGTGGCTAGGTCAGCCAAACAAAAAATAATACATATATATAGCTTAGGTTTTGGGTAAAATATTTTTAGGTCCTCTTAGCTTACCCGTCTTTTACATTTTAGCCATTAGTTTTAGGGTAAATCAAATATAAGTCCCTATATATTTGTTGAGTTTTGCGTTTTAGTTAATTGGGGATTTAATTTATTTTTGGGGTAAATCACGTTAAAGTCTCTGGACTCTTAACATATTTTTATATTTAAATAACTACTTAGTGGGTTAATCATCCATAAGACATTCTAGTTTAGGAGTGTTTTTTATTTTGGTCACCTATATTTTTTTCTTTATTTTATTTCGATTTTTGCATGTTAATTTCTATTTTATTCCATTTTAGTCATTAATTAATTATGTTATTATTTTATTTATGAATATGATACTATAGTTTTAATTTGTTTTATTTTGGTCACTATTTAATTGCAATTTTATTTTATTTTATTATTGCCCTTTATGTTTCAATACTTTAATTATTACTCTTTATTTTATTTTTATTTCATTTTAGTTATATTAATATTTATATGAAAGATTCATAAGTATAAATTGTTCTATTTCATAATTTGAGTAAAATAATAATATTTATTTATTTTTAAATATTAAGAAAGAGCTATATTAAAGTAACTAGATATCTTATTCTGATATTTTTAAATAAATAAACATCTTGTTTATAAAACCCTAAAAATATACATATATTTACTTTAGTTTTATAAAAAATATTATAATATATTTTTCTTTAGAATTATCCGATTAAATCTGAAATAAAAGGATTGTAAATTAAATTTATATTTGATTTCTTAAATTTCACTAATAGAGACAATTTATAATCGAAAGGTACCAATTTTGGGAGTTGTGAGGTGCTAATCCTTCCCCAAACGTAATCGACCATGAATCCCTTTTTATTAATAAAAAGAATGAATTTCTGGTTATACGCAGACTGGTTTATCTTTTAAAATGGTGTTTTCTTTTAAAATGGTGTTTTCTTAAAAACTATTTTAAAAGATGATTTTTAGGTATTCGACCTACCTAACCCAAAAGGTTGATGGCGACTCCAAAACATTTCCTTAAGAAAGCCATTTATTTATTCACTTACTTTCCCGCCAAGAAACATTCGTGTCCGGGCAAAAACCGGTTACGACAGCTTGACGACTCTGCTGAGGACCTTGGTCAAACCTAAGTCGATTATATATTGTCTTTATAATTAGAAATTAAGAATTCAATTTCATTTAATTTATGATTCTTTTTTATTTCTTTCAATTTATTTTATATTCTTGTATATTAATATTTTATTTTCATATATTAGGATTATTGTTAAAATATTTGTTGTCAAAGGTTTGAGAATTTCTCCTCACACACACACATGCATTGCATAACATAGCTCTACTTGAGCTTTTCCCTTTTAAGTGGGAGTGAAAGCGACGTCTTCGTGAGAATTTATTCTCTGTATCAGACCTAGTAAGTAGCTTTCGGGGTTCATATGCTCTATGTCTTCGTG